TTTGCCTGGCCTTACATATAATTCGTCTATTTTAAATTTTAATTACTTCAGTTTACAAATATATTTCATTGAAAATTTTTATTAGCTGCTAAGATATTATCAACATTATCAAAATTAAAATTTAACTATATTTTAAATATATTTAGAAAAATTATAAAGTATATTGTCACATACAATTTTTAGTAAATACATAATTTCATTTTGGTGGAAGATCAGGAACTTTACCATCTGTTAATGCAGTAAATTATAATTAGTTTGAATAAACAGTCACTTTTGCCTTTTTCCTCCTAATAATTCACTTACCTTCGAAATTAATACCGCATTTGACAGCAACACCAATTTTCATCTCATCAATATGCTTTTGGTCAATCCCCGCCTGAGCAAGTAAGTCTAAGGCGGGTTTATTATTTTTAAGGAAGTTGAATAGAGTATTAACTATATCCTTGTTACACCGTGTACATATTGAACCTGGATCAGCTACAGCTACAGAGTCTAGAAGAGGATTACCGGTGATATTTAACGGAGATTGAGGTAAATTTATGACGACCTTAGCAGTTTCATCTTTACAATATTCTTTTTTATCTTTAAAACATGTTATATCTCTCACAGGAGAATAGAAAACGACAAAGAAATAAATGAGGTCTGCTATTGCGTTTTTGTTACTTAGATCATCTTTACATCCAACTGTTATAGCATTAGTTGCATTTTGGACACCGCCATCAGAGCATTTAGGTGCATTACAGATAATATCAGAGAATTGATCAAATTGGGGAATATAATCTAGAAGTTTTTTTGGATTTTGCTTAAGAGAATTAAAAAAATTAGGGTCGCTAATGATAGGTAGAATTGGTAAGAAAGCTCCTGGCGTGACACATTTAAGAAATTCTGGACTTGTAGCAATCGCTAGCAATGTAGTTACGCAGGGTTGTGATAGGTTACCGGGTAAACCATCTAAAGCATCTAATATTTGTAAGGTATTTGGTGGGATTTTTGACGCAATATTTGGTGGAACGGTGGATCCTAAGCTTGTCATAGCGAGGAATACAATAATAACAAAAAATTTCTTCAACAACATTTTCAATATAAAAATAAATTGATTTTATTATCTGAAAAGAACTCTTTGTTTTAAGGCGAAGACTATAAAAAGTGTTGTGAAAGATTGTTTATATAATTTTTTTCTGTGAAAATTTTTTAAATATCTAAAATTTTTGTTCATTCACAACTTATTATAGATTACTAATTTTGTCTGTAGAACGTGAGATGAACATAGATGACACCAGGAACATCAAAGAAGTATGCGTGAGGAACGGAGTGGAATGATGGTTCTGTAAAAATGAATTGATGTGCAAATTTGTAATATGATCGGAATTCATTTCACATGTCAATATACGTACCATGGAAAAATGTTACTTCAATAATGTAAAGCTTATGTAATTGCATGAATGCGATGGATGTGCATGATGCGCGTTTTTTGTTCCATAGTTCTGGCCCGCATTACGTTGGTCATGTTCCAATATAATCTTAATGCCGGCTCAATTAATGGTTGACACGGTTAAATGATTATAAAATTTTTGATGAAATATCAATAAACGAAATAGTATCACACGTATAGATACGCATCAATGCAACAAACATGAAATTGCATTGACAATTGGGATCTTTGCTAGGAAAATCACCCTTCGAGATTTTTCGATCGCGCTAATTCAGAAAAGCTTAGACCAGAATGCCGCTTCTTTATTCATATATGTAAATCACCTTTGCTTTATTGATTCGTTAGTTTATTAAATAAACTGTCGAATCAGTAAAGTAAAAAAATTATTTACATATGAATAAGAACCGGCATTCTGGTCTAAGCGTTTCCGAATTAGCCTGATCGGAAAATCCTGAAGGGTGATTTTCCTAGCAAAGATCCCAATTATTTAGTTATTACTTTAGCATCAGAGATAACAAATTTTCATATATAAATCTTTGATGCGCTTTTTTCTTGATTCATGCATATGAATGCACATCGGCCCATCACTAGTGCAAATCCGTAATCTATTCGGAATTAATTTCACGTGTCAACGTTGGGAAATGTTTACTTCAATTATAACAAATAATTGCGTTGTTATGGCTATTAGTTGTCGAATTTGCTACTGAGCCGTAATCATCAAAATATCCAATATTAACAAAAGAGATAATTATGATGGGAAAGCGATTTATTTATTATATTTATTTACAAGACGATAATCATTCCATATATATTTACATTCTAATTAAAATGATAATTTAAATTATACCTTACTTGGATCGGAACTATCAAATAACCCGAGTTATTTGTTATATGATACTTTATAGTTATTGTATGTGTATGAGGCGATGAACTAGGAAAACCCGTCTTCGAAGGGGATTTTCCATTTTGAGAAAATGACGATTATTGTTCGTGAAACCTAAATTTTTACTCTGAACCTTTTGTTTTATAAACC